GGGGGGCGGTAGCTCCGGGCGGCCGACCAAGTGTGCGCCGTATCAGCTGACTGTGCTCGGCCAAGACTCATGCCGGGCTAAGACCGGGCGCCACACCAAGCCCGGAGGGCCTGCGGGGACATCCCGGTGAGCGCTCAGCCTCCCGTGGCGCCGGTCCCGTGCTGGCCAGCACCCGCACAAATCCGCACACGCGGGGAACAATAACATTGTATGTGCGGGTCCTGAGATGCATGGCTGTGGACATGAGGTCACATTAAAATGGTCGCTTTTTGTTTCAAAAGGCGAACTTATTCAAGATGACTGATGCCTCTCTTTTTTCTTTTTTTTTTTTTTTCTTGATCCCCTTTCCCAATTTTACACCCCTCCTCCTCTTCCTCCTCCTCCTCCCTGCAGATTATGTTTATTTTGAGAACTCGTCCAGTAACCCGCTGCTGATCAGGAGGATAGAGGAGTTGAATAAGGTGAGTGTGTGTGTGTTTTATTTATCCATACGGTGGTGTTTTACATCCCCCCGCCTTCCAGAACGCAACTTTTTAAATAATTAACCAGCAGTCGAAGTCGGCCGGCACGCCGGCGCAGTCGTTCCCGACGACTCCTTCCGTCCGTCCAAAGCAGTCCAGCGGTTTTAACGACAACGAAGCCGTTTTCGGGGCTGGTCGTCTGTGAAGAAGCAAACGTTGGGACAGCTGTTTAACAGCCGCCTATTTGCCCGCCGCGACTTGAGATGCGCGTGGTCCTCGGTTTACGACGTGCCGACATGCACGGTTTTGAGATTATGAACGACTTGAACAAAAGCACTCGGCCACACGAAACAGGAAGTCTTGTTTTGTTACCGCCGTACTTGTCGTTTTTTTGTCTTGAGATTCATGGCCCAGGAATGTTTTTCGTGCAAATAAATACCGCAATAATGATTTCAATTAGTGACAGACGGCAGTGCGTTCCGACGTATGTACAAAGTCGGTGTCTGTAACCGCGGTACTTTGTCGTACACGGCGGACCGCCTGCAAGGACTAAAAACACACTTGACAAAACAGTACGGACTGGTTGCGCTTGCAAAACTTGCATTGGGCCTAATTGTGCAGTAACCGACTCGAACCAACAGGTGGTGATTTAAAAAAAAAGAATTTGCTATATGATAGTTCACGTCGAGTGCTGCCCTCTACAGGTCTGGAGTGGCACACCCTGCATGTCACGAATTTGGAGTGAAAACAATACTTCATGGGTTGAATAAAGTAATCTGTCTGTCCGGCCTTCCATCTATCGATCGATCCATCTCTCAATCTTTTTTTTTTTTTTCTCTCAATATCATCAACAAAACAAATGGTTCACGTGCATTTACTCCATGTCCTGGTCATCACATTTGATTAGCGGTGCACTTGACACATACTGAGGGCCACAGATCAATATCGAGATGACCATGATTGCTTTTTTACACTTAATTATTTCGCCGCCCACCATAATCAATACATTGCTGCCATCTTAAGCATTTGTAAGGTAGCAGAGGATCACTTCATTGGGTCTCGAAAATGATCTGAGAAATCACGTTATGACTCCGTGGCGATAGCTGACACCGCGCTGAAACTTACCGTGTCCTTCTTTTTTTTTTTTTTTTTTTTTTTAATGCGTTTTCATCTATCGTCGACGTGTGTGTCTGCACGCTGCGTGTGAGACGGCAACACCTGTTGCCATGGTAACACCGATTGTCTCTCCTCCGCAGACCGCCAATGGGAACGTTGAGGCCAAAGTGGTGTGCTTTTACCGACGGAGGGACATCTCCAGCACGCTCATCGCCCTCGCAGACAAGCACGCCAGTGAGTGACCGAGCGTAACTTTGTACGACTCTTATTTATCCCGGGGCTTCTTTGCACACTATATACTTGATATAAAACCAGATTGCAGCCCCTCTCCACTCCAGTCGCAATATGAGGACACCTCCGTGTGTGCATATTTGCCTTTCATTCCGTACTTGGAAAGTGATTCTTGGAGCTAGCGCGGTACGCCGAAGTGCTGGCAGTTTTTTGAATGGCTTCCTGGCTGCTTCACGAGGAGGTTGGCAATGATGGAGAACTTCAAAAAAATAGTGTATGGAAACAAAGCGCTAATGAGAAATACTCCCAAAAAGGCATTCAATCGGCTGCCAATAAGCCTCACTGTGCTCCGCTTCCCATCCAATTGTTTGTGATGCTGTACACAATGAAGGACCGAGCCGCTGCGTGAAGCGCCGAAAAAAAACCACAAGTTTTAGTTACCGTATTTTCACGACCAGATGGCGCACCGTATTGAAAGGCGCCGTGTCCGTTATGGCTGCCATTTCTGTATTTCATACATACCCAAGACGCACTGCATGATAAAATGTATGTTATCTTAAAAAAAAAAAAAAATACGGGAGCATGCATGCACGCTAGCGTATGTTTTTTAAAAAAGCATCGGGAGCAAAACTGAGTTCGGCGGTACTTTATTTAAGCGTTTAACAACGTACTCACATTATTTTTGGATCGATCTTCAGCCACAAATCCGCAGGAGCGGAAGGTGGCCGTGTTTTCCTTCTCGTCCGCCCGAAGTTGCTGCGCCGCGGTGGTCCTGGCCTGGAAGAATAGTTGGCGCCGTTTCCTAAAACGAAAGCACCATGACTGACCTCCTTGAAAATGTTCGATTTTCATTTCGTCTGCAAACGTTTTTGCCCTCGGTCGAATGGTGACCGTAGAGACGCTTCTCCCGGCCTGTTCTTTGTCCGTGAATCCATCGCTCGAGTTGGTCTTCCAACTCGGGTTAGCTCGCCTTGTTGAAGCGGAAACTCAGCTTCGTCTTCTTTACTTGACGAAGCTCGTTCTCCCGCTTCCTCCAATTGCAAACCATCGCTTCGCTTATTTTAAATACTCTGCTTGATTATCATTTTCCTCACTGATCGCTTGAAGCTTGAACTGTGCTTTGTAGGCGTATCATTTTCCGGCGTCCGAAGTTGTTTTGTCCATCGCACGTACCAGCATTCTATCAGCCGACTGGTAGGCGTGCCTTCAGCGTCCACTTTCACGCCCACCCGCCCCCCTTTAACGTCCGCATGCCCTTCTCAGTTACTTCCGCCTTTCCTTAAACATAAACAGCCTGTCGCAGAAAATGCAAGACTATGAATAATTCACAGCGTGGCGAGTTTGTAAATGGCGATTCACAAATTGGCGAGGGTTCACTATGCTTGAAATGAGTACCACCCCCCCCTCCCGAAAAAAAAAAAAAAAATGCCATTTCTTCAATGTTTTAAACCAAGGGTGTCAAACTCATTTTTTGTTGCGGGCCACTTCAGAGTGTTAATATGTGCCATAAATGTTGTACAACAGCAGAATCCGCTTCTAATAATACGCTCGGTGTCTTCTGTGTTGGGGTTCCTCATTGTTATGGCCACCTTGTCTCGCGCGATGTTTTGGATCTGCTGCAGCCCTCGTTGCGGTGTCTCAAGTTACCGACAATGCTGATGCGGGACAAAAAAAACAAGCGCAGCTTGAGACGAGACGAGCTCGGGCTCCTTCTTGCGAGCGCTTCCAGCTTTCCGGGCCTGCGTTCAATAAAATAACACGCAGGGTTGATCTTAGACGGCACGATAAGATCGGGCGTCTAAACGCGAAGCGCATGTTATGACTGTGCCGGTGGACCTTGCTGGGTTGAGGAGTTGTCTCCTACTACAAAATTGTGTTACTGCATTTGGAGCGGCGTTATTTATTATTATTGTATTTGTGTCAGTGGCAAGTCTTCAAACATGCTAAAATCCCTTCATAATTTAACGTCACCAATCTGTCTTGGATGCACCCTTCAAATTGGGTAGCTGAGGATTTGGACAATTTGAACAATGGCTCTGAACGATTAGTCGATTCTTAAAGTAGTCGTCCATAAACGTGATCATCGATTAGTTGTCGATTAATTTTGACATCTCTACTTCAAATCGAGGCTGACTGCTCGGGTATGACACAGACTTTTTTGTGGCACTACTCATAAAAACAAGATGACAAGCGGCGGCCGTTTTTGTGGAATTCCCACTCTCAAAAAAAAAAAAAAAAAAAAATTACAACGAGCACTATCTTGAAATGCTTCTCAAATCCTCCATAAGAAATTAATCCAAGAAGAAACAATGGATGAGTGAAGTACTTGGCCTGCTTTACTGCCCACGCTGCTCTTCTCACCAATCTGTTGGCGCGATTTAAGATAAGATAAGAAAACTTTGATTTGTCTCACAATGGAGAAATTCGCAATTAGGTGGAGAATTTTGGTGCATCGACTTTGAGGAACGCAGCAAATTTTGGCCCTCAAAGCTCGATAAGGGTTGCCAGCTGACGGCAACCCTATCGTTCTTTGGAATTCAATGGTCGCCATCTGTCTCGTCAACACCGTTCACATTTGGTAAAAATCTGTTCATATTTTTATGTATGGGGAGTTCGCGTTCGAATGATGCCCGGAAATGTCGGAAATTACCGTCGAATGCGTGCTGTCTCTATGTTACTGAAACAGTGGAGGAAAGTTAGCTTGTGGGGAACTAAGGTGCAAAAAAAAAAAAAAAAAAAAGTTTGAGTCATGGCGAAATTAAATGCCGAATGGGAGGAGTCAGGGGGTGCAAATACAAAGCTGTCCGACCAATGAGTAGGCTGCTTTCGTGGGGGGTGGGGCTTCTTGAGGCCCCGTCGAGGGAGCGTTCTGAATCTCCGCAAGCAAAAATACTTGATCAATGACTCACAGCACACGCACACTAACACACGTACACACACTCATGCAAGACACACGCGCAGTTGGCCGCCATCCTCCACTGATCCACAGCGACACCGAATTAAACCTACCCACAAGCTATCTCTGTAACTGGTCGATCACGCATATGTAAGAAACGTGTGTAACGCACGCATGCGCACACGCACGCACACACACACACACACACACACACACACACACACACACACACACACACACACACACACACACACAGGCACCCTCACACACACACTTGGCTGCCGAGACGCACACAGGATGTAGCCCACACCCATGCAGCCATGGATTTCTTTCTGGAAGTGCCTCGCCAAACGGCATTCGAGCTGTTGAAAACCGGCCTGCTTTTGCCTCAAGCTAGCACTATTAGCCTCGCGTTTTGTTGTTTTAGTATGACTTGATTTTAGTTAGCCCACCCCCCCACCCCACCTCATTCCACTGCTCATACATGGCACATGGACGTTTTATTTTATTGTCGGGAAATGTTGAGTTTCGTCACTTAATGTGTCACAATCTAGGTCAGCCCAAGACCATACCAAGCAACTGACCTCATAACCAGCGAAGCTGTAATAGGCCACGATTTGGCTTTGACACTGTGCTCCGTCACATGTGATGGTGCAGGCAAAAAAATAAAAAATAAAAAAATAAAAGTAATCTGAGCAATTTATTGTCGCCACTCTGTCTAGGACAGTGTTGCCCAACCTTTTATTGAGCGGAGTTGACACTGCAGGCATAGTGACATGACCCCCCCCACACACACACACACACACACACACACACACACTCACAATCACCTCCCCCGCCTCACCCCCAAGACACACACATCCGCCCCCTCCCATAGTTGGAGCGTACTCAGTATGCCCAACAACTTTTACCCCTCATAAGTCGACTCTTCGGGAAATTTTTCCGGCACTTGAGTACTCTGATATTTGGGGGGTTGGGGGGGGCGGTTCTTGTAGGAGAAGGGCTATGCAAAATGTACTGACAAGGAGTGGCAAATTTCCGAGAGCGCCACCCATCATGCAAAAAAATTCAAGGTAATAATAAAATTGTTAATTTGATGCTGTCCTCAAATGATCATTTGTAAGCATGGACCAGTATTGGATTCTGACGAAATGATGTCGATGAGCAAAAGGATCCTGGTATTGCCGTGTTAAAATGACAGCTCTAAAAATACAGAAACCCGTACCATGCTGTTCCAATAAATAAATGTCCTTCTTCTTCTGCTTTAATTGTTCTCCTCACAGGTGAACAGACCAGTGGGCTACTCATGTTGTCCTTGGGGGCTAACTAGTACCCGCTGGCACCACGTGAAGGAAAAAAAAAAAAGGACAACGCATATGAAACAATTTTGTAAAAAAGTGACTTTTAATTCAACAGGATGAATAATAGTAAGACGCTTCATGACTGAAGTAAAGCACCAACTGTCCGAAAAAAAATAAACAGTTCGGTAAAAACAGGGGGCCCTGAAAATCAAGGCTTTTTGTCATCACAGTGGTGCGAATGAGGAGTCAAATTTCGTTTTTTCATACATCGGCAGAGATCAAGCTCCCTTTTAAGCACCGACATGAAAAAGAACGGCAGCAAGTTGACTTTAAAAACCACAGTGGAAAATCTCAGCGCAGATTCCCGAGACGCATGTGGAAGACCCGAATTTGGCCCTCTTTCGATCATACATGACGAACTTTAGAACTGCAACTGTCTAACTTGGGGTGTCGGGTTCACACAGCGACACGGCATTCCGCAATCGGATTATTGAATACGTGACGACAAATCAAATGCAAATAGCGAACATTTGTGAGCAATTTACGCTGATATATATATATATATAGATAGATAGATAGATATAATATTTCTGCTAGTTGGCTAAGCGTTGCTCGCCGTAGCTGATGCAAAAAGTCTTTTCTTGCCATGTCGTTATAAAGGTGGAGTCACTTTGTTAAGGCGGGACCCGGAGCCTTGTAAGGCGACCCCATTCGTCAATAATTGATAAGTGGGCCGGACAGGTGAGACGGAGCGGCAATTTGTGCAGGAGGGTGTGTGCAAGATTGTGCCGGAGTCCGCTCTGCCTCCCCCACTTGTCTCGCTCGCGCTCACATAATCTCACGTCCTCTTTGATTCATTTCTTCCGATGAACTTTATTCAATAAGCTCAGTTAATAATTAGCTGCTCAATGAGCGCTCGAATGGAGTGCGCGACTGTGTGTGCGCCTGTGCATCCCTACGTGTGGGTGTGTCTGTGTGTCTGTGTATTGATTTTGGCCACACATCCCCGCTTCTGAAAAATCCCTTGATTGCTTTTGTTCGGCCTTGTGACTCGCTGGCTCTGTCTGGCCTTCTAATGAAAGTCCAAATGAATTGGATCACGTATTCTCTCCCCACGTCCCCCCTCTCTCTCACTTGCATTCATAGTCTCTCTCACATTCTCCTTTTTTTGCTCTCCGGCGCTTTTGCTCTCCTTCTCCCGCCAGATTTCTTTATTACTCCTCCTCCCCCTCGCCGTTCCGCCGCCTTGACACATCTCTCTCCCCGTCCAGTGTTCCGCCGCCATTGCCCGCAACGCTTACTTCAACTCTTTCTGTCTCTATCGCCGCATTCTTCCTTCCCTCTTTCACCCCACTTCATCCGTGTCGCCAGGGATAAAATCTTAAACGTGGGATTTGAACGAAATGACTTTATAATAACATCTCAGATTTTGCCATATATCTGATTTTTATTCCAAATTTCACCCCACCCCCCACCACATACACACACACACACACACACACACACACACACACACACACACGGAAAATTAAATGTCACGGACTTTGCCAAACAGACTTCCCCAAAAAAATTCCCAAGCGTTAATCATCAGGTTCTGGATTTTCTGAAGTGAAAAATGGGCGTTTTTTTTTTTTAAGCTGCTAAAACCCACCGGGAAATAAGATGAAAATATTTTACTGAGGTTGTTTGGTTTTTAGCCCCAGCGTTATTTTTAAGTGCCAACGTTCAGCCAATTAAAGAGGCCCTTGAAGTAATTACAGCACCTGTGTCAAACTCAAGGCCTGGGGGCCAGATTCGGCCCGCCATGTCATTTTCTGTGGCCCGCAAAGCAAATGGTGTGTGTCAACTTGCACGATACTTGCTAAAATCTGCACTAAATTGTCACGTGGAATAAATAACGTTAAGATTCTGCAATAATTTTGTTACCCTGTTTACGCTCAGCGGCGGCACGGCGGTTGACTGTTTAGCACATCCGCCTCACAGTGCAGCTTTGATTCCAACTCCGGCCTTCCTGTGTGGAGTTTGCATGTTCTCCCCGCGCCTGCGTGGGTTTTCTCCGGGTACTCCGGTTTCCTCCCACATTCCCAAAACATGCACGGCAGGCTAATGGAACACAAACTCTTCTAACTGAGTGCTTTCAAAACTAGTAGCCCATTCATTTGTTGTGTCCAATACTGCGATGAGACGATGAAACATTTTTGTGGTTCCACCGTCATAACGGCACTCCGAGGGAAGACGGAAATCCAAAGTGGCCCGCAACAAAGCTCAATTGGACACCCCTGATTTACAGCCTTTGCTAAATGCTCTCTGTTTGATGCACCTTTGCTAGCAAGTAACTGCTTGAAGTCGTTTTGGAATATGATGCCTCAATCTTTATACCTCCATTGTCCAGTAGTTTAGTTTTGTATTTTTATTTTATTTTATTTAAATGTGAATTGGGGAAAAAAAATGGCATGCTGTGAATTCTTTGCGTACGCATTGTGTCTCTGAACTGTGCCCTTCCCCGTTCTTCCCTTTCCTTAGGGGAGCTGGAGGAGGAGATGGAGAATCCCGAGATGACCGACCTCCCCGAGAACCAGAAGCATCAGCTCAGACACAGGGAGCTCTTTTTGTCCCGCCAGCTCGAGTCCCTCCCCGCCACGCACATCAGGTAGGCCGAAATTTCCGAGCTGAAAACACACACAAACAAACGAGTGGCTCATCTGCTGCGTGCACGGGACCGTCTTGTAACATTTTGCAAAAATTGAAGTGAAATATTCAAACTGTTATGATTGATGTTTCTTCATTTTGTTATAGAATTAATACAGGTAATAATCATAAAAAAAAAAAAAAAAAAAAAAGAGGGAGACTTAATGCAAATGTTTGGATTTAGGAAGAATACAACATTGTCCTCTTTACTTCCAGTTCTGTACGGGCACCTCAATAAAGTAACCCAGCTGCTCACCTCATGTCATTCCCCTCCAGGGGAAAATGCTGCGTGACGCTGCTGAACGAGACCGAAGCACTCAAGTCCTACCTGGACAGAGAGGTGCGTGCGTTCATCAAGTTGACTGCTCCCGTGTAGTAAGCCGAATCTAAAGTACAAGTGGCCACCCTTTCGTGCGGGTTCCCAGGATGCCTTCTTCTACTCGCTGGTGTACGACCCCCAGCAGAAGACTCTGCTGGCCGACAAGGGCGAGATCCGGGTGGGCAACAAGTATCAGGCCGACATCACCGACCTGCTGAACGAAGGTGGGGGACATCGCACTTGCCTCGTCGCGTGGCCGCTCCAAATTGTTGTTTGCGACCATGTTGACGTGCCTGCCCAATCTGCCTCCGCAGGAGGAAACTTTTTTTTTCAGCCTGGCAGCTGTGGACAACTCTGCCTTCTTTCCGTCCATCCATTTCGCGCTTCTTTCCACTCATCGATTCTGCCCTCTGTTTTTTTTTTTTCCTCCCTGCCATTTCTTACCATCTTTGTTTCCTTCCTACCATTCAAACTTGCGTTCTTGTTTTCTTCCTAATTTAATTTAATTACATTGAACGCATTCATCGACTTGATTATTGATTTAAAAGAATGTTTATTTTAATGAATATGTATTCTACTTTAAATTTTTTTTTTTTTTTTTACCGCGAGCGTTTATTCTCAAGTTCAGTCGGGCATGGAGCCGAAATTGAATTCATAGCAGGTGGGATTGCAATTAGCGCACCACGGGTGGGGAACGCCGAGCTGGCTAATTAAAGCCACTTTAATGACGTTTTGTTTTTGGAGTTTTATGCTTGGACAGGTTTTCTCTTCTGAGTTTCACGACACGACACATCAGGAGATAAACAACCTGACGCTGGATAATTTAGCATCATGTGGTTCTTTTTCTGTGTGTGCAGGTGAGGAGGATGCCAGGGACTTGGAGAAACTGGAGGAGAAGATCTGGGAGCCCAGCAGCTCGCTGACGGAGAAGCAGATCGACCAGTTTTTGGTGGTAGCTCGGTAAGGTTGATGAACTAACTGGGGAATGTTTTCAGCAATAGATGCAAGCGTAATGGGGGCCTGGGGGGGAGAGGGGGGTTCTTCACACTGTCAAATAAGACTACCCACCCTTTGAAGAAGCTCCGTACTTACCATGACACTTAGCCTCATTGCCATCGCCGGTATGCTTCGGTGGTGATGTCACCCGCCGCCCCGCCCCACAATAATGGAGAAAAAAAGCTGAAAAACGAATTCATTCACTCACTCACTGACTCATGTTTTCATTAATTGCATCATAGTTAGTCATTTCTGGCTCTGTGGTTATGACTTTGCCATCACTGTTTCCCTTTTTTGCATTGCCTCCCCCCGCCCAAAATTAAAAGAGCTAAAGCACACACGCGTGGCACTAATCCTTTCTATTCTCACAGCCACGCACCCCTCTTCCCCCCCTCTAAAAATCTCTAAAAATGATCCACAAATCAACGGATCTTCTTTTTTTTCCTTCTTCCTCTTTTCAATCTTGCTCCTGTAGGTCGGTGGGTACGTTCGCCCGAGCCTTGGACTGCAGCAGCTCCGTGCGCCAGCCTAGCCTTCACATGAGTGCTGCCGCAGCCTCTAGAGACATCACCTTGGTGAGCGCACTCCAAGACAGGTCTTGGGGGAATGTACGGCATGTGTAACACAAGTGCTACTGTGGGTTAATCATGTCAGCGTCATTGTGGGATATTTTTTTTAAGTCATTTGAGGCTGTTAATTCCCTGCTAATGTCGAGTAAAGAAGCTTCCACCTTGAAGGCCTACTTGTGTTCCAGATCCTTTCCTCCCTCATATATAAAACATTGACAGCCAGAGACGTGCATGCTTGCGCACACGTACACGTCATGTGGCACGGTATTTACGGAAGAAAGTATGGTCCCGCGTGTATGGGGGCTCATTTTATCATCTCATATTGCCAGAGTAGTGTCGAGGGAGGAGGTAGA